CTAGGTTGGAAGAGACCTTCAAGATCACCTAGTCCAACCTCTGTCCTAACATTAACCAGTCCTCCACTAAACCATATCACTAAGCACTACATCTAAACATCTTTTAAAGACCTCCAGGGATGGTGATTCAACCACTTCCCGGGGCAGTCCATTCCAGTGTCTAACAACCCTGTCGGTAAAGTTTTTCCTAATATCCAACCTAAACATCCCTTGGCTCAACTATAGCCCATTTCCCCTTGTCCTGTTGCCAGGCATGCGGGAGAATAGACCAACCCCCACCTTGCTACAGCCTCCTTTAAGGTATCTGTAGAGAGCAATAAGGTCACCCCTGAGCCTCCTCTTCTCCAGGCTGAACAATCCCAGCTCCCTCAGCCACTCCTCGTAAGACTTGTTCTCCAGACCTCTCACCAGCTTCATCGCCCTTCTCTGGACTCTCTTGAGCACCTCAATGTCCTTCTTGTAGCGAGGGGCCCAAAACTGAACACAGTACTCAAGGTGTGGCCTCCCCAGAGCCGAGTACAGGGGGACAATCACTTCCCTAGACCTGCTGGCCACACTGCTTCTGATACAAGCCAGGATGCTGTTGGCCTTCTTGGCCACCTGAGCACACTGCTGGCTCATATTCAGACGACTATCAACCAATACTCCCAGGTCCTTCTCTGCCAGTCAGCTTTTCAACCACTCATCTCCCAGCCTGTAGCTCTGCTTGGGGTTGCTGTGCGCCACGTACAGGACCCGGCACTTGGCCTTGTTAAACTTCATGCAGTTGACCTCAGCGCATCGGTGCAGCCTATCCAGATCCTCCTGCAGAGCCTTCCTACCCTCGAGCAGATTGACGCACGTACCTAACTTGGTGTCATCTGCAAACTTACTGAGGGTGCACTCGATCCTCATCCAGATCATCGATAAGGACATTAAAGAGGACTGGCCCCAGTACTGAACTCTAGGGAACACCACTAGTGACCAGCCTCCAGCTGGATTTGACTCCATTCACCACAACTCTTTGGGCCCGGCTATCCAGCCAGTTTTTAACTCAACAAAGTGTACGCTAGCCCAAGCTAGGAGCAGTCAGTTTCTTGAGGAGAATGTTGGGGGAACGGTGTCAAATGCCTTACTGAAGTCAAGGTGGACCATATCCACAGCCTTTCCCTCATCCACCCAGCATCTGACTTTATCATAGAAGGAGATCAGTTTCGTCAAGCAGGACCTGCCTTTCATAAACACATGCTGACTGGGCCTGATTGCCTGGTTGCCCTGCAAGTGCCGCGTGATGACACTTGAGATAATCTGCTCCATGAGCTTCCCTGGCACTGAGGTCAAACTGACAGGCCTATAGTTCCCCGGGTCTGCCCTCTGGCCCTTCTTGTAGATAAGCATCATATTTGATAGCCTCCAGTATCCAGAGAACAACTGCCGCTGAAGACTGAGGCAAAGAAGGCATTAAGCACCTCAGCCTTTTCCTCATCTCTTGTAACTAAGCTTCTCCCCGCATCCAGTAAAGGATGGAGATTCTCCTTAGTCCTCCTTTTTGTGTTGAAGTATTTAAAAAAACATTTTTGTTATCTTTAATGGCAGTAGCCAGTTTGAGCTCCAGATGATCTTTGCCCTTTCTAATTTTGTCCCTGCATATCCTTATAGTCCTCGCAACATCCTTATAGTACTCCTGAGTGGCCTACCCTCTTTTCCAAAGGTTATAAACCCTCTTTTTTCTCCTAAGCTCAAGCCACAGCTCTCTGTTCAGCCAAGCCAGTCTTCTTCCGCACCAGCTCATCTTTGGGCACGTGGGAACAAACCGCTCCTGAGCCATTAAGATTTCCTTCTTCAAGAGTGCCCAGACTTCCTGGACTCCTCTGCCCTTCAGAACCACCTCCCAAGGGAAATGAGGCCCATCATCTGAGGATAACCCTTCAAGAAGTCCAAATCATAGAATCATAGAATCTTAGAATGGTTTGGGTTGGAAGGGATCCTAAAGATCATCTAATTCCAACCCACCTGCTATGAGTAAGGACACCTCCCACTAGACCAGGTTGTTCAAAGCTCCATCCAACCTGGCCTTGAACACTTCACTTATTTCCTTGAATCACTTCTCCTTGTCCTTTTTCATCAACTTTGCAATGAAATATTGCTAATTCCTTTGGCTCTCAAACCTTCTTGCCCTTTTTGAAGATAGGAGTGACTTTTGCTTTCCTCCAGTCTTTGGGCACCTCTCCCAGTCATCATGATTAATCAAGTGATATTGAGAGTGGCCTCACAATAACATTTTCCAGCTCACTCAGCACATATATGTGCATCCCATCAGGGCCCCATGGATTTATATTACATATGTCAAAAAAAAAAAAAAAGAGAAGTCTGCAGATAACACATAAAAATATACATAAGAAATATATACATATATGTGTGTATAAGAAATATAAGGGGTGAAAAACACATTTCCGATTACTATGTAGCAGTTATAAGATGAAATGTAACATCCAGAAAATCTTTGCAATGTAGGGTATGATATTTGTGAACTTGCTTTTCCAAGTGAACGGGACCAAGTAAAGAATGTGGAAAGCAAAACCACAAACAACATCCCAGTATGCAGTATGATATATGAGGGTGTTGAAATAAGGTGTGTTGAAAACGGCCTTGATTTTTCTGTTATAGTCAGCTCACTCACAGCTTCCTGGTACATAAAATGTTCTTTTTAACTGCAGCTGAATTTCCTGTTTCCTTCTTAGGAAGAACCCCAGAAACTGCTTCTCAGCACATGCTTTTTAACAAGACTGAATGAAAGTAACTGGAGAAGCAAGCAATGAGTTGTGTGCAGACAGGTAACAGTGGGCACATGCTTAATTTCCTCCCTAATTTTTAAAAAAGGATGCCAGGACTCAATTTGAGTGTTGGGAAAGACAGATGTGCCAAGTTATATCTTATGTCTGGACATCTTGAAGAATCAATAAAATGATGCTTATTGCTTACCATGTCTGCATCACAAAACCTAGGGCTTTACAACCTTTGGTTGCAGGACCTTGACAGTGCTGAATGCTCTGCAGTGATCATCCATTTTGTTATTCGATGAGTACATCTGTCTATGCATAGACATGCCAATACAGAAACTATTGACTTAATACATGATTATGTTCTATACAATTTGTTAAACAGTGACCTCTCTTTTAGGATGTTGTTATCCTAGGATTTGGCTGTGATCAGTATAGTATGCTCTATACTAGTTGACAAAGTGTTATACTTCTCATATTAAGGAAAGACCATATTTGCTGTTGGAAAAATGAGTCATGATGCCAGGCAAAAATGAATATTTGAAGCATGGCCATACTAGGGCATATTAATTCTCTGTTGGATACCAGTAGTGGCCTTGTAGATCCTGATGGAGATAATTAAGAAGTAGGCAGGAACATAGTGGTATCCCACTTACGATTCACTAATAATGATTCATGGAACTACAATATATAGGATAGGACACATGGCCTGGGAAGAGTACGGGGGTGCAGTCCAGATGAGCAGGGATGGGATAAGGAAAGCCAAGGCACAGATGGAATCAAGACTGGCAAGGGATGGAAAGAATAACAGGAAGGGATTCTATGGGTACATTGCTCAGAAAATAAAAGCCAAGGGGAGTGTACCACCTCTGATGGATGAGAAGGGTGAACTGGTAACAACAGACGCGGAGAAGGCTGAGGTACTCAATAACTTCTTTGACTCAGTCTTCACTGCCAGTCAGGCTTCCCATGTCTCTTGTTTCCCTGAACCTACAGATGGAGGCTGGGAGAGAAAGTCCTACCCACTGTAAGCAAAGAAGAGGTTTGAGACCACCTGATGAAACTAAACAAGTAGAAGTCTATGGAGCCTGATACATGCATCCTAGGGTCCTGAAGGAATCAGCTGATGTAGTTGCCAAGCCTCTCTCCATCATATTTAAAAAGTCCTGGCAGTCAGGAGAATGTGATGGCGACTGGAAAAAGGGAAACATCACTCCCATTTTTAGAAAGGGTAGAAAGAAGAACCTGTGGAACTACAGCAGGTGGAGGGAGGGGATTGTCTCCTTCTACTCTGCCCTCATGAGGCCCTGCTTGGAGTACCATGTCCAGTTCTGGAGCCCCCAGCACAAGAAGGATGTTGATCTGTTAGAACAGTTCCAGACAAGGATCACGTAGTGGAGAGGGCCAGAGCACCTCTCCTTGAAGAAAGGTATAGTTCAGCCGATGGAAGAGAAGGCTCTGGGGTGCCCTTCTTGTGGCCTTTCAATACTTAAAGGGAACTTATAGGAAAGATAGAGAGCAACTTTTTGCTGAATCAGACTATGACAGGACAAGAGGGAATGGTGTTTTTTTTTTTTTTTAATTTTTATTTTTTAACTAAACGTGGGGAGATTTAGATTAGAGATTAGGAGGAAATTCTTCACTGAGAGGGTGGCAAGGCACTGTAACAGGTTGCCTAGAGAGGCTGTGGATGCCCCATCCTTGGATGTGTTCTAGACCAGGTTAGATGAGGCCCTGAGCAACCTGATCTAATGGGTGGCATTCCAGCTTATGACAAGGGGGTTGTAATTAGATGATCTTTAATGTCCTTTCTAACCCAAGCCATTCTATGATTCTATGAATATTTCAGTTTGTTTTGTGTATACAAGTGCACACCTGTTTGTTACCTTTTGAATAGTTTTGAAATTAGGTTGTTAACAATTGGGTGTTATACCAAAGGGTTATTCACGCTTTATCATAAAACTTCCATTCTCTTCTTAAGAAGAAGAATGCTGGGAACTCCGAACTGCTTTCTGATATAAATTATCAAATCAATCTGAGTCAACTAACCATTAATAGCCAGTAAAAGACCAATGTTATCCTAATCAGTTCTACAGTAGTAGTATACTACTTGTATACATGTTTAGGCTAACATTGGTCTTTTTATTGCCTTTGGATGTACACAATATTTATGAATGTTTTTAGCATAAGAAGTCTTGTTCAAATGATAACATTCAATGGCAGTTATGGGAATATGGGCAGTGTTGCTAAGGCGGAGCAATCAAAGCCACCAGTCTGTAAATCATGAATCCCAAGGATTTGTGGTGACTAGCATGATGCAACGTAACAATTACTCAGTCCTTTTGTTAAATATTACTTTTCTTCTTCCTCCTCCCCCCCCACCCTCCAGACAAACTTGCAAGTAATAAATTCAGCTCCTTTCCAGTTGCAAACTTACTCTGAACTAAAACATTGCTCTTCATACCTTTTTCAAAGATCTATAGGATACCAAGACGGACATCTCAATGGCTACCGAGGTATGCTCTTTCCCTTACCCTAGTTTCCCTCTCTTTCTAATTCTTCTTCTGTCTGCTTCATTGTCCATATTCTATGATACTTCTGTAATAATGATTTTGAAAATGGATGTTCTATGTACTTCATGCATGTTACTCTGCAAAGTATTAGTAGGGACTATTTCAATTATTTGAGTCTTCCTGTCTAGATGATATCAAAAGATAAACCTCCAAAACATGAATGAGAGTAAGGATAGGATTCATCTCACTGACTGCAAACATCTGCAATATAGATTTCTACATACGAGCTAATCATGAATACATTTCCTAGTGAAGTGGAACAGTGCAACAGTATCTCTGGGGTGTATGAAATATGGTTTAGGAGTGGTATTCTAGAAGAGGTTGTTTCTTTCCATTGATGTTAAGAAATGTTAATGTCAAGAAATGTTAACGGCTATAACTGACATGGAGAAGGCTGAGGTACTCAACAATATTTTGCCTTAGTTTTCACAGGCAATTGCTCATTCAATACCTCCCAGGTCACAGAATCTCAGGGCAGGGCCTGGGGGAATGAAGTCCCACCTCTGTAGGAGAAAGCAAGGTTCGATACCATCAGAAGAATCTGAATATGCACAAGTTGATGGGGCCTGATGAGTTGCATCCAGGAATGGTGAGGGAATTGGGAGATGAAGTTGCTAAGTGTATAAGGAATTGGCTGGATGGTCACATTAAAACAGTTGCAGTCAATATCTCAATGTCCAGGTGGAGACCAGTGATGAGTGGTGTCTCATCCCTCAGGGTTCTATTTTGGGAATTCAGCCAAGCCAAGTGTAAGGTTCTGCACCTGGGTTCAGGCAATCACAAATATTAATACAGACTATGCGATGAATGGATTGAGAGCAGCCCTGCAGAAAAGGAGTTGGGGGTACTGGTGGATGAAACACTTGACATGAACTGGTAATGTGTGCTTACAACCCAGAGAGCCAATTTTATTCTAGGCTGCATCAAAGCCCATGGCCAGCAGATCAAGGAGGGTGATTCTCCCAATCTCTTCTGCTTTCATGATATCCTGCTAGGTATACTGCATCCAGCTCTGTGGCCCCCAGCACAAGAGAGACATGGACCTATTACAGTTGGTCCAGAGGAGAACCACAAAAACGATCAGAGCATGGAACACTTCTATGAAGATAGGTTGAGAGAGCTGGGGTTATTTAACTTAAAGATGTCTCCTTCTCTAAGGAAGAGGAGAGAGCAATAAAGGGAGACCTTATAGAGGTCTTCCAATACTTACAGAAAGCCTCCAGAAAAGATTGGGAGATGCTTTACCAGGGTGTGTAATGAGAGGACAAGGGGCAATGTTTTCAAACTAAGAGAGAGTAAATTTAGATTGGATATAACGAAGTAATTCTTCACAATGAGGGTGGTGAAGCACTGGGACAGGTTGCCTAGAGAAATTGTGGATGCCCCCTCCCTGGAAGTGTTTATGGCCAGCTTAGATGGGGCTTTGAGCAACATGGTCTAGTGGAAGGTATGTCTTCCCAGACATGCCAGGAGTGTTGGAACTAGATGATCTTTAAAGGCCCCTTCCAACCAAAACTGTTCAGTGACTGTGTGATTCTAAGACTCTATTATGTTCAGGTACTGTAGATCTCAGGGTGAAATCTAAGTGGAATGAAGTGAAATTAAGTGAAATGAATGCTGCCACAAACATATATCAGATCTATAAGAGAAACCTGTGAAAGTTCTATTTCTTTAGGCTATTGTGAACATTAGTTCCAGCTAGACATTTGTTTTTAACTGAAAGATATATCATTGACTCAAGGAAATCAATTGTTGAATTTGACTGCAGTTGATAAATTGTTTCAACAAGAATTCTGCCCTTCTATCCTCTATTTAAAGTATACTAGAAAAATGAGTTCTCTGATCTTCTTTTTGATGATGTTAGGTATTAAATCAGGGTAAACATTGGTTAGTCTGTGGAGAGCTGGATCATATGTATGGATACTGTGTATTAAATTTGATGTAGTGAGAAATGTTCTTACCCTGAATGTATTTCATTTTTTATGCCAGGTTAATAATCAAGTTCGTTTGTCTAACGATCTCTCAGAAGGTGAGATAAGAGCCACTCGGAATAGAAGAGGAAGAGTGCAGATGTGCCTGCATGAATTACTTGATGTTCATTTTGAGGAGGTAAGCACTGACAATCATGTTAAGGTAAAAAGGATAACACTCCCGTGATGTAACACAGACTGTCATTTGAAGTGAGGCCAATAATTTGTCAATTAATGAGGTCAATTTTCAAATTATTGACCTCAAGAAAATTAACTGTATATCAGCCAAAACCAGAACAACATCACATGGTATGAAATATTCCTTTAGTCCATCTGGGTCAGTTGTCCCGTCCCTATTATATTGCCTCCTAGCCTCCTGCTCACCCACAGCCTGCTTTCTGGGGGTGGAGTGCGGAGTGGGAAAGAGAGAGTCTTGATGCTGTGGCAGCAGTGTTCAGTAACAGTCAAATTATTGGTGTGTTATTAGTACCATTCTAGCCTGAAACCCAAAATACAGCACCATATTGGCTGCTATAAAGAAAGTTGACTCCAATCTAGTTGAATGCAGTACAGCATACTTCTTTAGAAATGTCTTGGCTGGCTATAATAGTTCTATCTTTCACTTTTGGAAAAAAATAACAAATAAAGGTCTTGGTGACGGAAAGGGAACAGAGAAACACAGTACATACTTCTCAAGATATAATTATGTTTTGAAGCAACATCACAGAAACATAGCCAGAACAAAATTACATATCAGAAAGACAAGTGCGGTTCATTCATGGTGGGACAATATAAGGGAGAACATAATTTGTGACCGTTATGTAAAGGGAAAAGAGAAATAGGGGAAAGCAGGTAGATTATGGAATGTGTCCTAAACAAAACTTCCTAAACAAAACTAACAGGTGAGGTGAGAACTTCAAGGGCCCTTATCCCTGACTGTTTGTTAAGCCTTTGCTCTAAAAAGAATGCATCAAGATTAACCTTTATGTACTGGTGTTTTCTGTCTTCCTCTCCTCAGGATAATGTACCTAACATTGTTGTTCTGGGATCAGGAGGAGGCCTGCGTGCTATGATAGCCCTGCTAGGAACCTTGGTGGAGCTGAAAAATCAGAATATCTTGGATGCTGTCATGTATCTCTGTGGGGTGTCAGGATCCACTTGGTAGGTACCTGTTGACTGGTGTGATAGTAAGTGAACTGCTTCATAGATTCAGTAGAAATCTGACACTTTCTTCACTGTTCAGAACCCTGTATGGGGCTCACAACTGATGAACTTAGCGGCAGGTGAGATGTGCCTGTAAAAAGTGAGAGGCACAGGAAATACTTATAATATCACCTACAGTCCAGCAAGACTGATCTTTCATCCCTAGAGAGGAAAACTTCTCAATTAAGCTAACTCTGTCTTACCTTCTTGAAGATATAATTCCCCTTGTTTACAGGTTAATGACGATGAGGAGAGCAGAAAAGTGACAACCAGCCAGGAAAATGTTGAAAACTTCTGGGTACCATACTACTCAGAAGTAAAGGGGCTTGTTTAATAGAGGTTATGTAACGTTTAGAAAGGGCCTATAAAACTTAGCTACATCTTTCGAGCGTATGGGAATGACTCAAGGTGCATAAATGTAAACACCTAGTACCATTTTACCTACTTTGCCTGCCCCCTGCCTGTTGGGAAAAGCACTGTGTCTCCTACATAAAAGCACTGGGTCTCCTTTGCTCTCATGAGACTCCATCTAGAGAACAGTATTCAGCTCCAACATAAGAAAGACATGGACCTGTTAGATCAGGTCTAGAAGAGAGTCACGAAGATGATCAGAGGGCCGGAGCACCTCTTCTACAAAGACAGGGTGAGGGAGTTGTGGTTGTTCAGCCTGGAGAAGAAATGGCTCCAGGGAGTCCTTACAGCAGCCTTCCGGTATTTAAAGAGGGCCTCATGAGAAAGCTGAAGAGGAACTCTTTAACAGAGAGTGTAGTGATAGGACAAAGCATAATGGTTTTAAACTAAAAGAAGTAGGTTTAAATTAGATATATTAAGAAGAAATGTCAGTCTGAGTTTGGTGCTTGGAAAGCTTGTGGAGCAGCTTATCCTGAGTGCCATCACACAGAACTTACAGGACAACCCTCGCCCAGGGTTGATCAGGCCCTGACAAGGTCCAGTCAGCATGGGTTTATCAAAGGCAGATCCTGCTTGACAAACCTGATCTCTTTCTATGACTAGGTGATGTGCTCAGTGGACAAGGGAAAGGCTGTAGATGTGGTCTACCACATCACCTTCACCTTCAGTAAGGCTTTTGACACTGTTTCCCACAGCATTCTTCTAAAGAAGTTGGCTACTCAAGGCTTGGGCAGGTGTATGCGTTGTTGGGTTAAAAACTGGCTGGGTAGCTGGGCCCAAAGAGTTGTGGTGAATGGAGTTAAATCCAGTTGGAGGCTGGTCACTCGTGGTGTCCTCCAGGGCTCAGTATTGGGGCTAGTTGTCTTCAATATCTTTATCAATGATCTGGATGAGGGAATTGAGTGTACCCTCAGTAAGTTTTCAGATGACACCAAGTTAGGCACGAGTGTTGATCTGCTCAAGGGTAGGAGAGCTCTGCAGAGGAATCTGGATAGACTGGACTGATGGGCTGAGGCCAACTGTATGAGGTTCAACAAGTCTAAGTGCTGGGTCCTGCACTTGGGGCACAACAACTCCAACCAGTGCTAGAGGCTTGGGGGAGAGTGGCTGGAGAACTGCCCGGCAGATAGGGACCTGGGGTTATTGGTCACTAGCCAGCTGAATACAAGCCAGCAATGTGCTCAGGTGGCTAAGAAGGCCAAAAGCATCCTGGCTTGTATCAGAAATAGTGTGGTCAGCAGGACTAAGGAAGTGAGTTTCCCCTTGTACCCAGCTCTGGTATAAACACCATGAACATAGTGTTCAGTTTAAGGCCCCCCACTACAAGAAGGGCATCGAGGTGCTGGAGCATGTCCAAAGAAAGGCAACAAAGCTGGTGAAGGCTCTAGAGAACCCAGAGAAGGGCAACAAATCTGGTGAAGGGTCTAGAGAACAAGTCTTATGAGGAGCAGCTGAAGGAGCTGGGGTTATTTAGCTTATAGAAAAAAAAGGCTCAGGGAGACCTTATGGTACTTTACAATTACCTTAAAAGAGGTTGTAATGAAGTGGGGATCAGTCTCTTCTCCCAAACACCAAGTGATGAGGGGAAATGGCCTCAAGCTTTGCCAGAGGAGATTTAGGTTGGATATTAGGAGAAATTTCTTTACTGAAAGGGTTGTGTGGCATTGGAATAGGCTGCCCAGGGAAGTGGTTGAGTCACCATCTCTGGAGGTTTTCAGAAAACATTTTGATGTAGAATTTAGAGACATGGCTTAGTGGTGAACTTGTCAGTGCTAGGTTAAATGTTGGACTAGATGACCTTAGAGGTCTTTTCCAACTTGAATAATTCTATGATTCTATGAAGTGCTTGACTATTACAATAGTGAGGCACTGGAACAGATTTCCCAGAGACGTTGTGGATGCCCCATCCCTGCAGATGTTCAAGGCCAGACTGGATGGGGCTTTGGGCAGCCTGATCAAGTGGGAGTTGTCTGTGCCCATGGCAGGGAGGGATTGAACTAGATTATATTTAGGGTCACTTACACCTCAAACTATTCTATGGCTCTATGATTTTATGATCTTCATTGTACAGAGTCAATACACAGACAACAGGCTGCTCTTGATGAAGAAAGTAATTCTATACACCTTAATTTATTAGGTTTTATTAGGGCCATAGAGCTGGTCTTGGAACAGTCTGAGCCCTTCACATCTCTGCAAGTAGTTAGCAGAGATGATATTTTAGTAGGATATGATACCACACTGCAAATATACCAAATTTATTGGTCCTAATAACAGACCAAAAATTTCACAAGTTTGTAAAAATGGTGACATGATGTAATTCGTTTTGCTTAAGTTTGTTCCATGTTCTTTAATGGATTATCTGTTTCTTAGCAGGCTTCACATCTTTCCCACTAAAGAGTTCTGCAAAATCTGTATTCCTACAGCAATTTACCCTAAATAATTGCATGTAACCACCTGAAATTCATCTTCATGTCATCTAACTTATTAAATGACATTGTCAGAATGCAAGTGGGAAGCAAACGATCAAGGAACAATGACATCCTTCTATGCTGCAAAGTTCCTTGCTTGTGGAGAAGCCTATGAGTTCTTTTTCTTCACATACAATTTTTAAATCATTCCAGTATCTGCATGCAGATTGAAAGAAAAAAAAAAAATCAAAGCTCTAATCATTTCCCTCTTTACTAGAGAACGGATTTTTCTTTCTCCTTAAAAGGTGCATGTCCATGCTGTATACAGAGTCAAAATGGTCAGAAAAATTGAAGTCCCTGGAAGAGAATCTAATCAAAATTCTCACAGTGGGCACTTCAAATGTTATGAAGGCAATAGAATATTTAGAGGAGTCATCAGAAGATGAACATTACTCACTCACTGATGTCTGGGCCTGTGTTGTATACGGAATACTGCATCAGGTAAGAACTAATTGCAAACACCTTTTGAATGTTTTGAACATCTCAAAGTAATTGCAACTGAATTTGACTTTGGTGAATGTTTTGAGGAGTTGTATAAGTTGAAGCAACATTTTAGAGCATTATGTCTAATCTCTGGATATGTAAAGGTAGAGAAGTTAATCCAACTCCATTCTCCAAAGTGGGGTTATCCCCAGTAGTATGGAAGGGAGGAACAACAACTTATGTTCATACTTATTTTCCAGTTTGATGAGAACGAGCTGACTGATTACAAGTATGCATCAGAGACTGGAATAAACCCTTACCCAATTTATGCAGCAGTGGATAAGGAAAAACTGAGTGCAAGCTCTCCAGGTAAATATGGGTTCATCTTATATTATTTTAAATACCATCAGATATCTTAAATACTATTAGGTTCCTTTAAGGCAATGGCAGACATAAACTGTGCTGATATCTAACCCCATTTTGACAAATAATGGAGAAAAAGAGGCACTTCCAGGGGCTGAATCACATTCTGTAAAGGTCACTTGCATGATAGGAGAGTGAGACAACTCCAGAACAGAATAAACTAAACAGATTGGATAAGACATCAATAAAATAGATCTTCAAAATGTATGTTGTGGATGAAATGTTACGCAGGTCTCATGTAGGAGCAATTTAAGATGTATGAATTCCTTTACGGTAAATCACAAATTAGTTTGTATGATTTTTTTCCTTAGCAGCATTTAATCATTAGTTAATCATTATCATATTTAACACAAGAAATCAGTAGTGTTTGTTACAATCCATACAGTGACTTAATTAAAGATTTGTAAATAGCAGTGCTCACACACAAGACTTAATGGCAAGGTATTAGCAATTTCTGTACAGCAAGGGACAGGTGATTTCTATACAACAAGGGATTGGGGGGTTTCTAAACTCATCACATTGAGTTTCACAAAGAACCAAGAACTTCACCAAGAAATTTTCTTCTTTTGTTGAAGTACTCACCTTCGCCTGACTCAGCTTATTCAGCAGACAATCATTGAACCTCAAGGAGTCTGCCCTAATAGGCATCCCTCCTAAGGGAAAGATCCTAGGTCACAGCCCACTGTGGTCCTGGAGAGCTCAAGGGGGCTTTTTGCTTAGGACCGGTATTTATAGGACTGTGAGATGAATGGCTTTGGTCAGTATTTTTCCATTCTGGCCACAATTCAGGTTAGGTAATCCTTGTGTTGCCAAACCAACCATACAATTCCAGTACCTTCCAGATTGTACAGTTCAGGTAGCCAGGTAGTAGAAGTTCCAGGTTAAGTTAGGGAGTGCCTAATCATCCCAACTCACTGCACTTGTTACAATGGCAATCCTGACATTGGAGAGTTGCTGGAGGTGAGGGGGTGAGGTGGAGGGAGGGTCTGCACCACGACAGTGTAGAAGCTGGAATATAGACATTTGGTGCCATCATAGAACTCCTTGGCTTCCACCTGAGTATTCAGAGGGGCTCAGTTCTTTTGTAAAGTTCTCTCTATTCACATTTGAGAATCCTTATGTCATAAAATTGACTCAGGATGTTCTGTGACAAAGGGGGAATTTCTACCTCCTTTTAGTAAACGTTTTTAGTAAATTTTAGTCATGAACATGAGACAGCTGCTCAATTAGGGAAATGAGAGGGAAAGAGCACACACACAAAATTTGCAGTAGTTTATATACAAGTTGCAATAAGGCACTATGCAAACATATACAATCATATTGTTACAGCAGTCCCAAGTCTGCAGAACATCTTACCTTATTCCATGCAAAACAGAGCTTTGGCACAGGACAGGTGTGGGCCTTGGGTTGGCACCAATCCTTTGTTATGTGTTCCTGAGGCCTTGATCTTCTCTGAAGCTGATTTTTTCTCAAAACAGGAATTTTGGTGTTTCTCTCAAATAATCTGTTGTTCCCAGCCCATCAGATGAAAGTGCTCAGGCCAATGTTTATAGCTCTGGGCAGAGTCAAAGTGATCAGGTCCTAACTTCTAGGCAGAAAAGTTAACCCTTTCATTGCAGAGCAGGTAGCACAGAGCAGGCAGAGTGGTTAACCCTTGCCTCAGTCTTACCATACTCTGCCTACTTCACCTACTCCTCTATAACAGTATGGGCTTCCTTTCCATCCTACATCATAACAGTCAGATGCAGGCAGATGACTCAGTTCAGGATAGGTCCCTGGTACCATAAGTCCCTGGTAACATATATGCGGGTACTTGAATCAAGCCTTTTCTCTTCTCTTCACTGACACTAAAGTGTATTAGGGCAGTCACACCACATGAGCAGAAGGACTCTCTTAGTTGATAAGCATTGAGAGGCCTATGAGCATATCTGAGAGATTTATTCAGAGCTGTACAATTTGACGGATGATCTGCAGGAATCCCAGACCTTTCAGGTATAGCAGTTGGAGGCCAGGTTATAAAGGATACCAAGAGCATAACAAGCAGCAGGCATAGCATGCTATGACTATCTTTGTTCCCCATATGAAAGTTCATCTTTGTCAGCTGAAGTCAGGTGATTTAAGAAAAGAAAAGAAAAACAACCTGAATGCTATCTTGGGATGGTGAGGTCAGCTATACTTCTGAATATTGTGTGACAAAACACAATATTCTTTGATTTTCTCAGAGACCTGGTTTGAATTCACTCCACATGAGGCTGGATATACTGCCTTGGGTGCTTTTGTGAGTACGGAGAACTTTGGAAGTAAATTTGAAAACGGTACACTGATGGAGAAGAATAAGAAGAAAACCATTTGTTACATGCAAGGTAAATCTTCCTAAATCTTCTTTGCAGAATATCTATCTATATATATTTGTATTCTGTATATATATACAGGTATATATGGATATATATATATATATATATATATATATATATATATATATATAAACAGGTATACTATTCTGTATTTTTCTGCAGATTTTAATAATGTAGCTAATATTGTATTGTGTGTGTGTATATATATTATGTATGCTTGCATAATAATGGAGAATTCTGGAGACCAGTTTGTCTCTCTTCAAACGTCCAAATGGGAACATCTGAATACCTCTCTACTCTCCACTACCTAAACTGACCAGTTTTATGTGGTTGTTAAGGAAAATTAGAGACCCCCATCCTAGGTTAGTAAAGTTAGTAAAATATTCCCAGCCTAACTGTCTAAATGTTTTATAATCTCAGCATATTTACTTTACTTAGTGATGCTTCCCAAATCAGATGCACCCTGTGAGGACTGGTTCCTCCTATTATTTCAATTTGTTTCACTCTGTTTCAATCCAGGTGCTAAATCTTTTTATTCCCTACCTACAGCTGCAAATCTCATCTCACTTGTCTATGACACATCTAGATATATGTATCACCCTTAAACACATCTTGCATTTAATCACTTCATGCCCCAGTCTCCTCAGAACATGTGCTTGGCATCATTCCCTCTAGGAAAAACAAAACAAAACACAAACTCAACAAACAAACAGAAAATCCACTCTAATTCTGGCTATTTAATTAATTCAGACAGAAAAAAATAATAATAATCAAAATACAGTGAAGAAATGAAGAGTACTTATGGTTCTGGGCTCATGTGTGGGGTCTGCACAGCGAAGTGTTCAACCAAGAGTTCTACAGTGCGAGAGTATTCACTGTTTGCCATGGGATACTGGCCTTAAAGTAAAAAAAATAAAAAATAAAAAAATAGCCCACTGAACTGTAGACCTGGCATGAGGAAGAAGGAATAAATCAGATTTTAAGCTGTGTAATCCTTTCAGTGGACAATAAGGGAAAACTGTGCAAGTAGTTTTGATTTAGACTTCTACCTTACAGGTTTTGAAAGTTAGGTAAGAGGAGTGTACTATTGAAAGGCAATCTTGGATTGAATTCTTAGTAAGACAAACATAAAACAAGTATTTTAACCACTTTTTTTTTTTCTTTTCTTTCAGGCTTATGGGGGAGTGCTTTGGGAAGCATAGAAGAAATTCTAAAGGCTATACTAGGTACTCTGTTTTTTTCCGTTGCCTCTATGTTCAAATTACAAATTGAGCATATACTTCAAATTACCCTTGGGCACTTCAAATTACACATGGGCATTGAAGATACCGCTAATTGGGACCTGAAGTGTCAGTCATGACTACATCTGGTGCGGGATCTTAAGGGCAACAAGAAGGGCTTTGTAGGTACATAATCATCAAAAGGAAGACTAGGTAAAATGTGGACCTGCTGCTGGAATGGAGGCAGGCAGGAATCCTGGTGGCAAAGGACATGCATAAAGTTGAGTTACTTGGTCCTTCTTTGCTTCACTCTTTATCTGGCACTTAAAACACAGATCTATGAGTGATGAACAGAATCAGTAGGAGAATAGTGCTCTTCTAGAGTGCCAGCCAGAAGACAGGGGAGATCTTTCAAGGAATCTAAAATGGAACTGTACTTATATTTACATTTAAGTGCAAGGCTAGATTTCTTGATGTCTTTTACTGAAAGACAATGACTATTTTATGAGAAGGGGTATTCTTATTTTAATTATCATTTTTATTTTTTTTTTATTTCTTTCTAGACTATATCAAGTGGTTGTTACAAAGGTTACTAAGTTCCTGTGAGACAAGGATATGCAGCCCATATGGATATGGTCATGGTGGGTTATTGTGATTCTTTGTGCTTTTTTGCTTTTTTTTTTTTTTTTTTTTTTAATTAAACACTGATTTGCTTTCCCCATGTAATCCCTTGGGGGACTGTTAGGATTGTCAGGCAAGGTACAAGGAAATCCAGGCCTTTTTCCCCCTCTATCACATGTAATAATTTGTAAGGTCTTCAACACGTAACTAATTCCCATTTACTCCAACTTTTGCTACTCCTCCTGCTGTTGTGTTTCATGGAGCTTTTCTTCCAGAATGAAAACAAAGACTATAAGACTATTTCTATTCTCGTATGATTGTATAGCCATCCAGATGTGAAAAGCTCAGTGTTAGATGTTTTTATTGTCAGCAGGGAGAAATATTCACTTTGCTACATGGTTTCTCTCACCAGTTTAAACTTCTTTTAGAATAAGACAAATGAGGGCAGGCTTTCTACAGATTCCATCTGATACAATGACTACATCTTCACTAATTCATGTTAGTTACCATCTACTTAGATCAATACCATCATGCTGATGTTTGGTAAGATAAATTCCATCCTGATGTAACTTCTATCTTGTCTTTCTTAGAAAGTATGTCAAATACCACCGAGTTTTCTCAGACTGTTTTGCTTCTACTAGAACTTCAGCTTTGTGCTGTAAGTGGGAGAGATCCTGAAGAAGTCTTCAATAAATTGTTGAAAATATTGTCAGGCAAGTGAATGATGTGGAAGTTTCTTAATACCTGCACTCTCAGTAATCTGACTTCACAAATTCCTTTGTTGTGTATTCTTATACTTTCCTTTTCTTCTTTTCTCTTTTTAAGAAGATGAAAAAAAACATGCATCCTACCAAATGTGCCTTAAAGTGCATAAGACTTGGGTGATGAAAACAAAGGAGGAAAGAATAGAGAGCTGTGTTAATCTGTGCAAAGAAATAGAAAAGGAATTTAGAGGCAAGTATTGCACATTAATGCTTACTGTAATGGTGATGCTCTCCTCACCCCATTTAGAAAAATTCACAGGTTTTTCTACAAATCCTGCGATTTATTACAAAAGCCCACATGCATTTGTTGGAAAAAGTTGTCATGTAAGTTGATGTGTATGTGTTTCTTTAATGTCACTGGCTTTTAGCTTTTTCTCCACTTCATTTTCCTTTCATTTTTTCATTTTTTAACACTTTCATTTTTTTCAGACTATCTTGCACAAGAAGGTACTCCAGAAGAAATGTCACAATCATTGCATGGCAAGTTTATCTCATTTTTAGTATCTTTTATTGCTCTTTATATCGTATGTGCTTTCAAAAAAATCCATCTTTGGAGGATTGTGAACATAAATTCCAGTGTAAATCTTATGTAGGGTCATTGTGGGATGATCTAGTGAAAACTATACTATAGAATGTATCAATGATATTCCGGTTTTCAATGTTCATAAAGCTTTCTGTTCTCGTGAAAGTAATTAGAATCTGCCTTCTGGAGTAAATAAATTAGGAAGCCTAATCCTGAACAATCAGTTTCCCATGTATTCTTGTTCCTGAGTGAGCCTGTACTTCTCAGGCATTCAAAACTGATGAAGTATATGTTGAAGAGTGGATTTCTCAGTGGATTGCTATTAGCTACTTAGCATGCATTACTCTCAAGTGTTATTTGGAACATCCATCACTAGAGACATTTGGAAATGAAAAGTCATGAAATAAGAAATCCTATAGCAAGCATTTTTGGCAGCTAATCAAAATCTCCACCCTTTTATCTGCTTAGATAAAAGTAACTTTTAGTTACTTTTAGCACTAAAGTTTTAAGTAACTGAACTCATTTAGCTTATATCTACAATATTTATTGGACTATGAGTCAAATGAAGATTATTTGGATTTATTTTTAAAAAGACCGAGAAGAGGTCTAAGCAAGACACAAGTAAATTTCAAATAAGAATTTCACGTTGAAGTTCCTAGAATATATTTGCAATGTTAAGCTGATATATCACATGTGTAGATCCAGGGCTCTACTAGTTCCATCACCCACTGTGTATGGGCAGCTTTTTGCCAACTTCCTTCTGGAGCAAATTGGTTGGTGTTATGAGATTAAATATGGCCATTGCCTCTTTAATCTCCTGTACTTGTTCCAAGGACTGTGTACACAGATCACTCCTGGCCTGTCTTTGCCCAATACGGTCCTCCAAATTATCGCATTGAGCTGGTTTTCTCACATTTTCTCGCATGATCTCTTGAATTTCTCATGGTTTTCTGCCAATATTCCCCACCTTGCACAGTTTGTTCTACCGGGCTGTAACCTGGCTCTCACTTTATCCATGGGACTTTCAGCTGGAAAGAAAATTAAAAGAAAGAACACTCTCTGAGCCACAAGAATGTTGCAAGGGGCCCAGAAAAGATCAGGCCTTGACTGACTTATTCAAATCTGTTTCAAGTGGGCTAAGATTCCACTGACTGATGTTAATTATCTGAACTAGTGAAAAGTATGGTTCTTTTTCTTTGGAAGCACTTGGGCCTTGGCACTAAGGCTGGCTGTATACTATCAGCACATATGTTCTTCTGACATGATGCATCTTCACCAGATTTTGTTGCACCAGTCAAAAAGTGAAGTTGTCTAGATTCAACTATGTTCTAAGTTGTTTTATCTCTTCTTAGCTGGCTTATGGAGTATCTTCAGGATCCTGACTAAAACAATGAAGTGTACTTTAAACTGGATGTGGGGAACAACTAATAACTTCCTTTACAAGTGCCGTAAGAAACTCCAATGAAATCTTTTTTTATTTAAGATTCAAAAAATACAAACCGGTTATGTTATCTGACTTGATTGGTAGAGCAGAATGCATGGGATCTGGTAGAGCTTTTACGCTGTGGTTGTGTGATGTTAAACCAATAAAACTGTCTTTGCCATTTATTTATTTTTTTAATACAGCGAGTTAGATAACTTACCTTTCCAAGATCCGCCCTCTCCTAATAGCATCCCATTGTGGGCAGCATGTAAACAAGTCAAAAACAGAATTTTATTTCACACTACTGGAATCCAGACCTGCAATATCATTGCAGACACATAAGATACTAGGTCAATTCAGTCACATAATCACAGGCATCCAACATCACACAAACTGCCCTGAGTTCAGGGGACTACAACATTAGGGTGAAAAGTACCAAAGAAAACCTACAGAACCCCTGTGCCCATTTGCAGGAGAACCTGGAGGACACAGAAAGGAGACAAGGAGGTGGAACTAGACAGCTAACTTAATGAAAATGAGTTGTGTTCCTGGCACATGGACAGTAACATGGGTCTCTAGATTCTATCTCCTGCACTAACTGAATGCTCACTTAAAATAACGGAAGTTTGGGCACCTAGCTTAAAAGCAGAAACCTTCATTTAGACAGATATATTTGTGTCATGATCTTGAGCTAGCTCATCTGTTCATTTTTCCCTCAAAGATCTTATCTTCAAATGACTAGTGCATATTTCTAGGGGCATAATCTCTTCTAAAAGATCATCAGAAATTTTGGTCTAAAACTGACCACAGTCAGAGAGAGAGGTGGCTCATATGGATGTAGATTCCTCCTGTGAGAATACAGTTGGACATCGGGTTGGGTGTGAGATGCAGGTTCCTATATATTTTTGGGATGCATAATCAATAAAGTCTGATGTACTCTTTTGGGGCTGGTCATATATATATATATATATATAGATAGATAGATAGATAGATAGATAGATAGATATATAAGTCATATTTGTCTTCATGAATCTCATTGCTTTTTTTTTTCCTTTTTTTTTTTTTTTTTCCATTGGACTAGCTAACATTCAGTCCTCTCACTTGTTCGAAAACAAAACCATCTCCTTGATTGATGCTGGCCTGGCAATAAATTCTGCCTATCCTCTGGTACTTAAAAAGCAGCGTCAGACAGATCTTATCCTTTCCTTTGACTTCAGCTCTGGAGATCCTTTTGAGGTACATATGTGGTTATCTCTTTGGAGAGACTACTTTGGGGTTGATTGCGTGGACTTTTTTTCAAGGCAGTTGGCAGAAACATATATTTTTAGAACTTGAGGCACTTTATCTGTCTTGTTCACAGGTATTTGATGATATGCTCTCAGGTTATCAAGCTATCAGGTTATCAAAGGTGCATAAAAGCAACAAAGAGAGCACTCACAAATTTCTTAGTCTCCCTTTTTTCCTTAAGGCTGGTCAGAACTTTTGTGTGGGTAACTGATACTACTCCTTCCTTAAGAGTAATTGATGACATTCTTCAAAGAGATCCTTCAGGTATGCAGCATGAGGAAATGTGGTATTAATAGTTACACCAGCAAAAAAGTCTGCAGCAACTGCAGAGGCTGAAAATTCTCGGAGAAGAGAAAGGAGAACAAATTCAACCAGTTTCAAAGATGACACAGCAAGGGTATTTCCTAGAGATTTTTGTGCTGTTTTTTGAAACAATTAAAACAATATGAAGTTGTTACACTCTCAGTGAAACAAACAAAAACAAAATTAAAACTCCTTAGTGATCATGAAAGATATTGTTTACAATTATTTTTATTTCTATTATTTTATGTTTCCAACTCTGTTTTATTCTATTTTGTGGGGGGGAACGAGGAGGGAGAAGGATACTAAACTAAACAAAAACTCCTTACTCAGTGAGCAGGGAAGATATGGTTTACATTTATTTTTATTTCTATTATTTTATATTTCTAACTCTGCTTCTCTGGCTCTTTTCAGTGTGGTCACTTCAGGGACAGTGGAGGTAAATGCACCAGGAAGCACTGGCTGCTTTGGATTGCCATATATTACAGTAGGCATTGAGAATAGAGTGGAGTAGAGTAGAGTAGAGTAGAGTAGAGTAGAGTAGAGTAGAGTAGAGTAGAGTAGAGTAGAAATACAGAATAGAAATTAGAATAGAACAGATCAGAACAGAATAGAATAGAATCTAGTCCAGCTGCCTGACCACTCCAGAGCTACCCAGAAGATAAAACATATTTCTGAGGTCATTGTCAGTCTGGAGAGTCAGTATGGATCAGGACTGGTGGCAGAAAAGTATCAGCTCTGGCGCCAGTAACCAGCCTAGTTACTGTTGGGCAGGTCCATAGCAATGACACTGTTCCAAGGTCAAGCTGGGAAGTCAGTCTATGGGTCAGGGTCCAGATCAAAAGAGCTAATGTACAGGCATGGCTGAGTATGAGTAGGAGACCAGTGCACCTAGGAGATAGCTCAGACAGGGGCTGAAGGCCCAGTCCTGAGATTAAATGAAGCTCATGGGCCCAGGGAAAAGACCTGGTCCTTTTAATTTTGCTAGAGTGCAAGCATGGGAGGACTGCTTTGGAAAGCAAAATTTGTTCTGAAAGTTTATGAACCTGGTCATATCTTCAGACTGTTGTATAGATGTCAAGACCCTTTAATTTTGATATCTTTCAGTGTCAGCCTTTCTGGACGTAGCTGTAATTTGTTAAACAAAGATTCTTGCTAGAAGTGACTCCAGAAGCAAGTGCTGGATTTTCATTAGTATTCTTGATTCAGTCAATTCCTCAGAGAACTGAAGAAAACTTCGCTTTTTATACATAACTTAGGTTATAATTTATTGTTGTCTAAGAAACTATCATCATTTTGTACAAATTAATTTTATTACTGGAGATAGGATTGATTTTTTTCTAGGTTTTCAAAAACAAACAGAGAAATTGTATACATCTTTTATCTTGTTTGTGTCTCAGACTGTCGAGAAAGCAGCTGACTACTGCCAGAAAAATGGTATTCCATTTCCCAACATAGAGAAGCAGGAAATGGACAAGAAAAGCCCTTCTGATTGTTATATCTTTCAAGGAGACAAGTCGTGCCCTACAGTCATGCACTTTCCACTCTTCAACAAAGTGAATTGTTCTGGTAACGTACATTTGATTCTATTTTGCCTCTATGTACTTGCATTTCATATCTTCAACCTCTGGTGCCAAGCATTTGAAAGTCCTCTTTTACCTAGTGCTGTTGTAAATGGACACAGAAGAAAAGGAAGAGAGGAGGCTCTATTCATAATCAACAGATGCTTGTGCAGGTGTTAATATGTAGGATTTACCCTCACTCCCTCAGATAAATGTGTCTGCACTCATGGCTAAAAGATTTTATGTAATCTTTGGTTTGTTCTCTATATCAAGCTCAGGAAGTGCAGCCTAGATGAGTGGACAGAGAGTTGGACTGGCAATTGGCAGGATGGTAGAGCTCAGAGGGTTGTGCTCAGTAGTGCAGAATCTAGTTGGAGGCCTGTAGCTAGCGGTGTCTCCCAGGTGTCAGTACTGGGTCCACTGTTGTTTGATTTATTCATCAATGACCTGGAGGTGGAACAGAGTGCACCCTCAGCAAGTTGGCTGATGACACAAAGCTCGGAAGAGTGGCTGATACCCCAAAGGGCTGTGCTGCCATTCAGAGGGACCTTGACAGGCTGCAGGAGGGATGGGCCAAGAGGAACCTCATTTAGTTCAACAAGGACAAGTTCAGGGTACTGCACCTAGGGAGGAATAACCGCAAGCACCAGTACAGGCTGGGGGCTGACCTGCTGAAGATCAGCTCTTCAGAGAGGGACCCAGGAGTCCTATTGGACAGCAGGCTGACTGGGTGGCAGTAAACCTGATCTCCTTCTATGACACAGTGACGCTCTGGGTGGATGAGGGAAAGGCTGTGGATGTGGTCTACCTTGACTTCAGTAAGGCTTTTGACACCGTCTCCCACAGCATTCTCCTCAAGAAACTGGCTGCACTAGGCTTGGACTGGCGCACGCTTCGTTGGGTTGGAAACTGGCTGGATAGCCGGGCCCAAAGAGTCGTGGTAAATGGAGTCGAGTCCAGCTGGAGGCCAGTCACTAGTGGCATTCCCCAGGGCTCGGTGCTGGGGCCAGTCCTCTTTAATATCTTCATCGATGATCTGGACGAGGGCATTGAGTGCACCCTCAGTAAGTTCGCAGACGACACCAAGCTAGGTGTGTGTGTCGATCTGCACGAGGGTAGGAAGGCTCTGCAGGAGGATCTGGATAGGCTGCACCAATGGGCTGAGGTCAACTGCATGAAGTTCAACGAGGCCAAGTGCCAGATCCTGCACCTGGGGTGCAATAACCCCAAGCAGAGCTACAGGCTGGGAGATGAGTGGTTGGAGAGCTGCCAGGCAGAGAAGGACCTGGGAGTGATGGTTGATAGTTGGCTGAATATGAGCCAGCAGTGTGCTCAGGTGGCCAAGAAGGCCAACAGCATCCTGGCTTGTATCAGAAACAGTGTGACCAGCAGGGCTAGGGAGGTGATCATCCCTCTGTACTCGGCTCTGGTGAGGCCGCACCTCGTGTACTGTGTTCAGTTTTGGGCCTCTCGCTACAAGAAGGACATCGAGGTGCTTGAGCGGGTCCAGAGAAGGGCGACGAAGCTGGTGAGGGGCCTGGAGAACAAGTCCTACGAGGAGCGGCTGAGGGAGCTGGGCTTGTTCAGCCTGGAGAAAAGGAGGCTCAGGGGTGACCTTATTCCTCTCTACATATACCTTAAAGGAGGCTGTAGTGAGGTGGGGGTTGGTCTGTTCTCCCATGTGCCTGGTGACAGGACAAGGGGGAATGGGCTAGAGTTGTGCCAGGGGAGTTTTAGGTTAGATGTTAGGAAGAACTTCTTTACTGAAAGGGTTGTTAGACATTGGAACAGGCTGCCCAGGGAAGTGGTGGAGTCACCATCCCTGGAAGTCTTTAAAAGACGTTTAGATGTAGAGCTTAGGGATATGGTTTAGTGGGAATTGTTAGTGTTAGGTCAGAGATTGGACTCGATGATCTTGAGGTCTCTTCCAACCTAGAAATTCTGTGATTCTGTGATTCTGTAATGTGCCCTTGTGGCCAAGAAGGCCAATGCTATCCTGGGCTGCATTCAGAAGTGTTGCCAACAGGTCAAGGGAGGTGATTGTCCCCCTCTACTCAGCCCTGGTGAAGCCACACCTGGAATATTGTGTCCAGTTCTGGGCTCCCCAGTACAAGAGGAACATAGAACTACTGAAGTGAGTTCAGAGAAGGGCTACAAAGATGATTAGAGGACTGGAGTACCTGTCATATGGGGACAGGCTGAGAGAACATGGCCTGCTTAGCCTGGAAAAGAGAAGACTGAGAGGAGACCTCAATAACGTATATAAATACCTGAGGAAAGGGTTTAATGAGGATGGAGACGGTCTCTTTTCAGTTGTGCCCAGTGACAGGACAAGAGGCAACAGGCACAAACTGAAGAACAGGAGGTTCCGTCTGAATATGAGGGGGCACTTCTTTACTGTGAAGGTGAGAGAGCGCTGGAACAGGTTGCCCAGAGAGGTTGTGGAATCTCCTTCTCTGGAAATATTTAAAACCTACCTGGATGCCATCCTGTGCAGTGTGCTCTAGGTGATCTTGCTCAGCAGGGGGGTTGGACTAAATGGTCTTCAGAGGTTCATTGCAACCTCGGCCACTCTGTGATTCTGTGATTCTGTGATCATTTTAATTAAATTGCAGACCTCCCATTAAAAAGAAGTTGAGGAGATATCACATTTAGAAGTTAGACAATCCAAATTGGGGATATTTATTACTGTTTCCCTTATAGTTACTGATGAGGAACAGGTTGGTGCAGATTTATCTCTCTCTCTTAGATAACTGATAAAGCTGGTGATCGAATAAGTACCTCTGAAATTGTGATTGAACTTCTGCTTTCTCATGTTGCTGGCTCCAGCATTATCTTAATGTGATAAAAATTTTTTATGTGAAACTTGTGGGTCTTCAGGGATTAATATTTTCTACAAGTCCGTGCTTTTCTTGGATGATCTTGTAGCTTTATATTTGGCATTTACTTACACAGTGTTTTCTGTTTTCTAGATAAAATTGAAGAATACAGAAGTAAGTTCTCTACTTTAAACATGTCCTACTCCGAGACTAAAATCAAAGATCTCCTTGCAAAAGCAAAGCTGAATGTGTCCAATAATAGTAAGAGAATTTTGCAAGAGATACAACTGCTTCTATCTTCCTCTCATACAAACAAGTTCTGAATGCAAAGGTAGTTTTTGTGTTTGTTTGATTGTTTTCTCTTCTGCGCAGAATAATGAATTTATGACTCCGTATTTCTCACTTGCTCATTTTTCTGCATTTCTTGTGTATAAAATTTAAAACTGATCAAATATTAAATATCTGACCTATAGATTGTTCACAATAGCAGAAGTATTTGACTTGGTCCCATGGTGCACTGAATAGTCCCAGTCAAATAATATTGCCTATAACATCCTGGCATTAGACGAGTATGCCTGTGATATTAAAAAATGTCAAAGGCCTCAGAGCTGTCCTGTGTTTAATTTACTAGTGTTTTCCTGTGTTTTCTCGTGTTCAGACCGAGTTTAAAGAATTAGGAAATTGAATCTGAGCTCAAGAAAAAATGTTTTAGTGAGAGGTTGGTCAGACACGGAAACAGGTTGCCCAGACAACCTGTGGACTCTCCATCTGTGGAGATACTGAAACCCCAATCAGACAAGGTTCTGGACAGCTTGTTTGAGCTGACCCCGTTTATGCAGTGGGTTGGATTACAGGATCTCAAAAGAGCCTGTCAAACATAAACAATTCTGTGTGATTATGTGTAACCAGGTTGGTAAATCAACAATAGCACTACAGGAAAAATGCTATTTCATTAAACTCAGAATAATTTCTTTTGAACGAGTTCCAGTTGGAATTCAGGCATCTTCGTTGTGGTATGTAGATGTGCTTAAGCTAGTACTCCATGGATTTTGGCTTACGCATGTTTGCTTGCCAGATCAGTGGTAAGGAGTATCCAAACACTATGAAAACAAAGGTTTTGTTGTCAACACACACACAGAGACAGGCAGATGTGCAGCTTGCCACAACAGAGAACCATTTTGCAAATCCTTATGCATTTGATAACTGACATGCTAAACATCTTCAGTGCTGTTTTGCAATGGAACTGCATATTTGTCATGGCTCCGCTCGAGTGGGCAGCCGAGCTCCACCACAGCCGCTCTCCCACTCCCACTCCTCAAAGAGGAATGGGAAGAAAATATGTGAAAAGAGCTCAAAGGTTGAGATAAGGATGAGAAAATCACTCAATAATTATTGTAACGGGCAAAACAGACTTGGCATAAGGAGATAGTAAGATTTTTGCCTATTACTAACAAGCTAGAGAAGTGAGAAACAAAGGAAAGAAACCCAAAGCACCTTCCCCCCCCATCCACCCTCTTCCACCTCCTTCCCCCGAGCAGCTCAGGGGAACGGGGGAATGAGGGTTATGGTCAGTCTACAGCACTTCTCTGCTGCTCCTTCTTGGTCACTCTCGTCCCCTGTGCTGTGGGGTCCCACCCACAGGATACAGTCCTTGATGAACTGATCCGGCGTGAGCTTCCGATAGGCAGCAGCTCTTCCAGAACTGCTCCAAATATGGGCCCACACCACGGGGTCCATCCCTCGGGAGAAAACTGCTCCAACCTGGCTCCCCTACAGGCAGCAGCTCCTGCCAGGTCACCTGCTCCTGCGTGGTCTCCTCTCCACGGGCTACAGGTCCAGCCCAGAATCTGCTCCGGCAGGGGTTTTCCACAGGCGGCAGCCTCCATCGGTGCAGGTCCACCTGCTCCACTGTGGTCTCCTCCATGGGCTGCAGCTTGGAACCCTTCTCCACCGTGGTAGTCCATGGGCTGCAGGGGGACATCCTGCTTCACCATGGTCTTCACCACAGGCCGCAGGGGACTTCTGCTCCGGCACCTGGAGCACCTCTCCCCCTCCTTCTTCACTGACCTTGGTGCCTGCAAGGCCGTTCCTCACTCTCCCAGCTGCTGTGTGGCGCAGCGTTTTTTTCCTGTCTTAAATATGCTCTCACAGAGGTGCAAAACAACATCACTTATTGGCTCAGCTCTGGTCAGCAGTGGGGCCCTGACCAAACATGGGGCAGCTTCTAGATCCTTCTCACAGAAACCACTCCTATGGCCCCCCTGCTACCAAAACCTTGACACCTAAACCCACTACACCTTTTGCTTTGCCAACATGCCTCATTGGGTCCAACAGGATACAGGTAGGGAGCCAATTTTGGAGCAGTGAAGAAGCCTTGAAGAAGACATGGGCATCTTGGATCTTTCTTGTAGACATTGCTGAGCTTGCTTGAAGGCACACACCCACAGACAATTGATTGCCAAAGCTGGAAATGGTTCGGTAATGGGTGAGCCTATATCCAGAGGTGGGGTACTGTTTTGAGGACCACTTAGGCCTCGTTGTTCCCCAAGGCAAAGTCTATTTTAATTGAGGGCTGGAGTCACCAAAGTGCGCTAAGTTGCTCCCATCCTGCAGCAGTGGATTCTTGCTGCCAAGGAAATAGTAAGCTGGCACTGAAAATGACGGACAGGGTCCATCATTTTAAGATGGTGTTTGTACCATACTTTCTGTTGGCTTTCTGTTTCTGAGCTGTGGGAAAGAGATTTTAATTCCCCACTAGATGCACCATACAGAAGTTCTGCTGCTGGGCTTGCAGTTGCAATGTATGAACCTCATCCATGATCGAGCATTTGGGCTATGTTGAGTGCATACAACTGAATGACAAATAGTAAATAATATGGATCATAGCAGATGGAGCTATACTCTACTCATTGGCATCCAGTGACAGGATGAGACGCAATGGGAACAGGGTAAAATACAGGAAATTCTGATTACATGTAAGAAAAACATTCTAACTTCAGAGGTAGTCAAACAATGGAACAGGTTGCCAAGAGGTGCTGTGGTGTCTC